AGGCGCGGCTCGACTGGACCCTGGGGTACGACCGCCGGTTGTTAGCCGACGCCTCACGGACAGGGGCTCGGTGCCGACGCCTCGCCCTCACTCTCGAGACCTGCCGGGACGGAGAGGGCGTCCTCGTTGCAGCGGCGGTTGCTGATGGGTCGTGCAGTAGAGCGGAGGCCAAAGCAGCCGTGCCCATGTAGCTTCCGTTGACGTGGATAATCGAGGCCCTGGACGAGGCTGGGTGTCCTGGGCAGCTGCGGTGCTGCCACCTCCCAGCGAAGGCGTCACTAGCCCGGCCATCGGAGTCGCTGACGCTTCGCAGCCTTCGGGAGTCTCGATGAGGCCGGCAGGCCGATACGGTCGTGGGAGCGGCAGTTGAAAGACCCCCCCCCCCCCCCCCCGGCACATCCAGCCGCTCGCCCAGCCAGACTGCCAGGCTCGGTGGGGCGCCGGCTTAGAGGGCTGGTCATGGCCGGTCGTGTCTGATGGACTTTTCGTTCACCCTGTTCACCACCCCCATCCTCCGTTCATCATCGTGTACCCCCATCGACCCCCGTCCACCACCGTGTACGTATCCCCCACTGCCGTCCACCGCCGTTCACCACCGCCGTCCACCGCCGTCCACCCCCATCTACCTATCTCCCACTGCCGTCCACCGCCGTCCACCTCGTCCAACCCCGTCCACCCCCCCCCCCCCCCCCACCCAGTCCACCCCGTCTACCTGTCTCCCCCTGCCGTCCATCGCCGTCCAACCCCCCCGCCCACCCCGTCCCCACCCGGTCCACCACAGTCCGACCGACTGGCGGAAGCAGTTGGGGACTCCGAAGCCAGGCCAGGGAACAGTCCAGCCCGCGCCCCCAATGACCGCGTCCGGTCGACCCGAAAGTGGAGCCGCCGGCGGCGCCGCTCCGCGCGGTGGTGCGGAGCGGATCACGCTTAACCCGACGCGCATCGCGCTTTACCTGACGCGGCCGTCCCGTCCGTGGTGTGCTGTTTGTCCACACTCGGTGTGTGATGTCAACCCATTTTAAGCCACGGTGTTAGTGAACCCCTAGCGTGAAATGCGTCTGCCAGTCGGTTTCCATTCGTGCGTAGCATTGTTGCGTATCTAGCTAAGCTCCTTGTTGGCGTGCCTATCTAGCTAAGATTCCTGTTGGCGTACACGTGCGTACCCTTCGATCGTATTCTGTAATTGATATACTCCGGTGACAAAGGATACGGCACATTCCGTGTATTGACAAACCCTTCGCGGCTTTATCATATATCATCTGCAACCGTTATCATGTCACGTGATATCAGTACCCCGCTTCAGCAACTTCCACGCCCTCGACCGCATCCGCTACGTCCGTCCATAAATAGCGGAAATGCCACTTTGACCGCTCCCAGAGCATCACCTGCACAGAGCACAGCGTTTCCCGCCTGGCGGCTCGCTGCCGCGACTGTCATAGCGCGTGACCTGTGGCCCGTCTCCGTGTGCTCTGCGCCCGGCGCCGGTGGCCGGTGCGGCGGCGACCTCGTGACCCGGCTCGCCTGTGACCTCAGGTCAGGGAGTTCGGCACGTTCGAGTGGACCAGCCAGGACGACCTGGTGGTCAAGTCGGACATGGAGGACGTGCCGTACTTCAACGCCCCCATCTGCCTGGAGAACAAACAGCCCATAGGCAAGGTGAGAACGCTGTTTTGCGGCTGAGACGTTACTCGAGATGTTGTCCTCGATTTTTTATCGGCTGGGAATAGCCGCGTGCGGATGTCATGTTGGGATTTGATATGAGAGTGTGGTTCTGTCGGTGTACTGGTCTTTAAACGTCGGCTTTAGCTTTCTGGGTGGGAATGTCTTGTGCCCTGATGGGTTAGCTTGGGTGTACAGTTCTCAGATAAGTTGCGTCCAATTTACAAGGTGATACGAAGGTCAGAAAAGTGACAGATGTCCATTGTTCAAATCTGTTTCTTGTGTGTTTCTTGTATATTTCACCATAGGGTTAATGTTAGACGTGCATTACTTGTGGATCAATGCCTCCCACGCCCCCCCCCCCCCCCCCCGTGTGGTACAGCTCGTACGTTTTCGTTGGTCCATCGTACTGTAAGCGCGCATAGAAAAAAGTACCTGCTGAAATGCGAAGCAAGGATGTGCGGTTGTGTCATGTATGCCTGTGCAGCCAAAATTGATCTATGCACACAAAGTAGCTCGATGCATGCGCCTCTGGGCAACGGGTTTTTACATGGGGGATTCATTTCCTGTCATTTCCCGGAGGACGGCGTATGTCCGCGTTGTTTGACACGCTTGCATTGCCATGGCAACGGCAACCCTTAGCCACGCACGTCTAACAGCGTGACCTAGACGCGATATCGTATTTCCCGCGGATTGGACTAGTCTTGGCTTCATTACGTCGCCGTTATCATGTGGCCCACCGGTGTGCGTGATTACGACGCATTTGCGACGGGGCTAAACAAGATGGCTGCCGTTGCAGGTGGACGAGATTTTCGGCACGCTGCGCGACTACTACATCTCTGTGAAGCTCAACGATGACGTCAAGGCTTCGTCGTTCACTCCGAAGCAGAAGGTGGGTTATGGTGCAGCCTGCGAAAGCGTGGCTTCAAAACGCTTGGCATTAGCCGTGGTATGTTTCGCACGTCCACACATCAGGAGTCGGCGTTACGGTTCTATGCTGGCAGTGACAGCACAGCCGCTCCTGCGATGAATGCGATAGGACTCATGCGGTGTTGTCTGTGAGCTGTCTTCCGTTGAAAATGATGGTAATTTGACGGTGGTTAGAGCGTTAACTATTGCGACCATTTGAGGACGTACATAAGGCAGACGAGAGGATATGACGTAGAAACATACATTTTATGTGAATTTGACCAGACCATCAAACTTTGAGCTAACTGCAAGGCGTCGAACCGGAACGTAAAGTTCTCAGCCTATGGCAAGTTGCTGAACTGGATGTCGAAGTCTTCAAAGCGTTTGACTGGATCGCAAGTTTCCCGTCAGCTCATAGCTTGCGGTCGTAATCCTCGCAGCTCAGTATTAAGCGCATGGCTGTGGATCACGAAAAGCTGAGGTCGGTAGCCGTCCCCGGCATGTGCCATTGGTTGGGCGCTACAAGTGAACCACCGGTGTGGATGCTGCCAGTGGTGGCGGCCACGCGCGTTGGAAGTAAATACAAACGATGGTCCGAAGCTGGCGAGGTTGCCAGACACCGGAAAGCTCCTTCTTCGGAGCGTTACCAAGACACATTTCAGGCCTTATGTCCCAACCCTCGATCAAGCCCTGTTTTGCCTCCAAGTCATCCGGCCGTTTCAGTGGCAGCTCGCCGCAGTGTTTCATGCCACCATTGACGTGTGTTTGCCGGCTTCCCGCTGGCGTGCGTGCCGGAGCGTGCGGACCGGAGCGTGCGTGCGGACCGGAGCGTGCGGACCGGGGCGTGCGGACCGGAGCGTGCGGACCGGGGCGTGCGGACCGGAGCGTGCGGACCGGGGCGTGCGGACCGGAGCGTGCGTGCGGACCGGAGCGTGCGGACCGGAGCGTGCGGACCGGGGCGTGCGGACCGGCGTGCGGACCGGAGCGTGCGGACCGGAGCGTGCGTGCGGACCGGAGCGTGCGGACCGGAGCGTGCGGACCGGAGCGTGCGTGCGGACCGGAGCGTGCGGACCGGAGCGTGCGGACCGGAGCGTGCGGACCGGGGCGTGCGGACCGGAGCGTGCGTGCGGACCAGAGCGTGCGGACCGGGGCGTGCGGACCGGAGCGTGCGTGCGGACCGGAGCGTGCGGACCGGGGCGTGCGGACCCGGAGCTGCGTGGAGGACCGGAGCGTGGGACCGAGCGTGCGTGCCGGAGCGTGCGGACCGGAGCGTGCGTGCCGGAGCGTGCGGACCGGAGCG